ATATATATATATATATATATATATATATATATATATATATATATATATATATATATATATATTTATATATGTATATATATTTATTTATTTATTTATATATTTATATATTTATATATACCTGAGTGAAAGGCCTCTAGCCTGACAGCATATCTGCGTGTGAGTGTGAGTGCGTGGTGTATAGAGAGAACGAAGTGTCTCCTTTTATCATAAGCAGCAAAAGTAAGTGTCTCCGTTAGTGGATCGAGGTGCATATACACCGGAACACCCAGCACACTGTCTCCTTCTGTCTCTGTCTTTATAGGCATGCATTGAGACACATCGTTATACACCCCATCTATATATATACAACACACACACAAAGAATACAAACCCTCACTCTCCTTCTCTCTATCACCAAGCATACGGTACCCTACACCCTCATACGGGGGGCCCCCCCTCTCTCCCTCCAAAGGGGGGCCCCCCAAACCCCCTACACCACCAGATACAGAGGGGCCCCCGCTAGGGCCCCCAAACGGACCCTCAGGAAACTGGGGGGCCCCCATTGGGGGCCCCCCAGCAGGGGCCTGGGGGCCCCCCGATGGGGGCCCCCCAGCAGGGGTCTGGGGCCCCCCCGCCGGGTCCCCCCCNCCCCGCCGGTTCCCCCCCATGAGGGCCCTGGGGGCCCCCCGACGGGGGCCCCCGAGCAGGGTCCTGGGGGGCCCCCGTCGGGGGCCCCCCAGGACCCTGCTGCCCAGCGTGGGCCTGGGGGGCCCCCGATGGGGGCCCCCCGTGTGTGGGGTCTTGCTGAGAGAGTCTGCGTGCGTGTGTGTTGTTGGCTGTTGTGATTTTTTGTAAGAAGAAGATTTTGCCTGCTGCTGCGTCGACAGCCAGCAGCTGCAGCAGGGGGGCCCCACAGAACTGGTGTAGGGCCCCTGCTGCTGCAGTGCGGAGGAGATAGGGTCTCCTTTTTGTCTCCTTTATATATTCTTTTATTGAGGATAGAGAAGAACCAGAGACAAGACGAATGCATGCGGGGCTGTCTATGCTGTCTCCTTCTCCTTCTCCTGCTGCTGCTCCTGCTGCTGCTGTTCCTGCTGCAGCAGCAGCAGCAGCAGCAGAAGGAGACAGAGACTGCATTAGGTTTATACAGGTCCAGGAGACAGGGGCCCCTCCGCCCTCTTTATTTTGTTGGTGTAGAGAAGAGAGACAAAAGGAGACAGGCAAACGCACAAGAGACAGAATACAGTAGCTAGCTGTTGCTGCATCACACCCAGGGAAGGGGGCCCCCCTAAACAACCTACTGTCTCTATACACCCCAATTATAGACCCAAAGGGGGGGCCCCCCATCTCTGCTCTCCCTTCTATGCTGAGGGGGGCCCCCCAGGGGCCCCTAGACTCAACAGCCCAGGACCCTACAGAGGGTACTGACTGCTGCAGTACCCTCAGGGGCTCAAAGGTATCGAAGGGGCCCCCCAGGGATCCGGGGGCCCCCAACAGCCCCACACTGTGGGGCCCCCCAGGGGGGCCCCCTGAACTGGCAGTAACCTTTGCTGCTGCTGCTGCTGCTGCTGCTGTTGCTGCATATGCTGCTGCTGCTGCTGCTGCACCCTCCGGGATAAAGGCTGTAAATGAAGACACCAAGACAGCCCCAGAACCCCCAGGGCCCCGCACAGACAAAGCCCTATACAAATTGGGGTGTATGTACACCACGTCAACGCATGCACTCTCCGCAGAAACCACTGCATGCGCCTGATACATACACAAACCCTAAACCCTAAACCCTAAACCCTAAACCCTAAATTTTATACCCTAAAGCTTAAACCCTAAACTTTCTATATAACTATTCACGCATACAACGATACAACACACGCAAAAACCCTAAACCCTAAACCCTAAACCCTAAACCCTCATAAGTAAACCCTAGAACAATACACAGACACCCACCCCGTAAACCCTAAACCCTAAACCCTAAACCCTAAACCCTCATAATTACTTTTTTTCTTTTTTTATGTTGTTCGTGTTGTATTGTATCCTGCTGCAACCTAAACAAAAAGAAGGTAGAGAACAACAAAAAAACAACAAAACAGAGACGGGCGATGGGGGGCCGCTGCTCCTGCCCTGGAGGAGACACCCCAGGGCCTGCTGCTGCTGCTGACTCCAGCATCATTTTCTCCTCCTGCTGCTGCTGCTGCTGCTGCTGCTGCTGCGGTTGCTGCTGCTGATGATGATGCTCGCGCTGCTGCTGCTGCTGCTGCTGCTGCTGCTGCTGCTT